ATTTGAAAAATCATGAACTTTGGTCCAAGTAGTCCTTTGACTTAGGTGAACCTCTAAGAATTTTCACATAAACAGAAACTTTACTATGGTTAATTAGATAAATTAACATTGAAAATACTATTTTTGAGCTAAAATAATATATAGATTAAATAAAAATTAAAAAAATTCATAATCTCTCTTCTAATATTTTAATTTACCCATGAGTGGGGTACCTTAAAAATTTTAAAGTCACTTGAGTTGTATTTAATGAGTTATGAAGTGGAGAGCCCTAGGGACAAAATGATAATTTTGGGATTTGATACCCTAATTAAATTTTAGGTTAACCAAAGGTTAAATGGGTAATTTTGATCATAATTGACTCTTTTGGATGTTTAAAACATGATGGGTTAAGAGGTAGAAACCAACTTGTCACCTTTTCCTGATAAGGGTAGAATTGTAATTTTATAAATTATTATGACTTGGAAGATAATTCAATTGGATGATCCTAAGGTATTGGGTTTAAGCTAGGAAGATAATAACTTACTTGTTTGAAGCCCCTAGTTTGTGATTAGATGATGAGCATGATTTTTATGATGATTGAATTTCATTTCATTTAACATTTTGATTATTACAAATCTACCCCGAAATTGGATTAAGGGCTTAGTAGTGAGCTAGGCTTGATATTTAAGTTTGTCTAATGAGGTTTAGAAAAGAGAAATATGATTGATTAATTGACACCTTTAAACACTACAATCCCAACTTTAATTGTGGGTGCAAGATCCATAATTACTTAAGTTCGCCCTTAACGACATTACTTACATAACTCTTGAATAAAATATCACGTGAATGTTTGAGTACCCCATTTTTAGGATAATTAAAATATTAAGTTTCACTGAGCACAGGGTGTATTAATCTACTGAAACTAAATGTAACTTCTTGTGATTAATTGAGTGACATAATAAGTTCAAATGAACTCCAAACGGTTCAAAGGGTTCTAAAAGTTGTTTAAGGTTGTGCTCCAAACACTTTGAAGTCTTTTGGATAATTTGAAGGACAACTAGATTTATTATTTTTTGATCAAGAAAATCATCCATTAAAACTTTTAGGGACCCACCAAGTTATACCTCGGAACCCGACAAATCACTCCAATAAATAAAAATACCCTACACTACTTATCCTATATTAATTAATCCAATTCTCAAGGATTTCACTCTTCTCCAAGGTATTTAAATCCTTGTGAGCAATTGGGGATATTTTTTTTCCACATAGGAATCATCAAGCTTTTGTAAGTCTGAGGTCTAGGTGGTTAGGGCAATGATGATAATGTTAATGTGTGTTGAGACGAGAGATACGATGTGGGATTTTAGAATAATATCTCCTACCTGAAGGACCTTCAATAAAAGGAGAGGATAAGGACCGATGATGCTATTCAATGACCCTTGAGAAGTTGATTGCCCTAGATACTCTTAGGTTGCTTTTAGTCCTAGCTCAATCTCAGTAATTAACCTGTGGACTGCACCACTCTACAAAATATTTTAAACAAAAAAATCCCCATTGCATGATAAAGCTAATCTTATATCCATGAAAAATAAATTTGAAATGAAAACTTATAAAGGTCCATGGTTAATCACTTGGAGCTATTGGGTGGTAGCTCTTTCTTAAGGTCAGGAAGCACACAATTCAGCTCTGAGCCCTCACCTTTAGTATTGTCTTACACCCAGTCCCGATATTCTATATGTGACTACGAGTTTTATTTTACTTGCATTTTCCTACGACTTATTTTCCAACTTTTTCTCATACCATTTATTCTCGTTTGCTTTCCTATAAGTTATTTAAATTTCCTGCAAATATATTATGTTTTATGGTGCTTTCCTGCAATTTATTTACCTTACATCACTTTTCTTACCTGTATTTATTTACTTCACCTGCAAAAAACTGTACTAGCACTGGAAATTACAAAACCATTTTCAAAATTAAACAACATTTGCAAAACTAAATAATGAAACAACAATTACATAATATGTCCTCTTGAATTTATGGGAGCCCTCGGATGAGGTAACCCGCAGTTGCTGATGAGTTCTCCTTAATTTAAATGAGCTTAAAACTCATTTAAACCAGGTAAATTCAAGAGAAAATAGTGATGCCGAAACGAGGGAACCGTAGGATCCTAACCAATGTCGCTCTAATCAACTTTAATATATCCTCATACTTTAATATGCCCTCTATAAAATTTAAAGAACTTCAACCATAAGGCCACCTGATTTAATATTATAACTTGACACACTAGATAACTCAAACTCTTTGCAGCAGGAGCTTGGAGCTAGCTCGGTGTGTAGCACGGCCATGTTCAACAACAGAACCTGTCTTCCATAGCTAAACCAATCTTCCTTCCTTAGACCTAAACAACAAAGTCATAGGATTTCGAGGTTGCTTGCTTATGCAACGTAAATCCTCACCTTATCTTTAGGCCTTTGTATAGCCATGCTATATAATATAAGCCCTAAATCGTCTTTGGATTCCGAGGTTGTCGTCTGTCATGACCTAAATCCTCACATCTTCTAGGCTATTTGTGTGATCATTTCACACGAATGTAAGCCATAACTAATAAAATTGGCAGAATGAAACACTTAAATATTTCTCCTCAAAACTAAAGCCAAACATTAGGATAGCTTGGGAAGTCACCGAGGTTCACCTCTAAATCCATGACAACCCCTAGTTCTTCTTTCTTTGGAATCTACAATAAAAAAAATGTTCCAAATTTGAACCAATCCCCTTGCACACCTCTATGTCCAATTTCTTTGAAGAGTCCTACCCTTTGAAATTCCTTGAAGATAATATTTCTTGATTTTTATTGAGAGTTTTCTGTGGTGGCTTTGGTCATTTAAGATGTAATTAACTATAGGGGCTTACCCTTATAAGAAGCATGTCCGAACCCACCTTAATATAAACCATATTTAATCCTTTATATTAAATAGGGGAACTTATCGGCAAATACAAAGGTTTCGCAGACCAAACGAACGTCATACTTTTCTTAGTTTATTTGAACAAGCCTCATCCTCAATTATCGTGTGTATCCTTCGGGATAGATACAGGATTTGAGG